GTTTTTATCTAATAAATAAAGTGCGGTAGTACATATTATATAGAACGCTTATATATATATATATATGTATCTCAAGAAAATGGCCCCAACAGATATAAAAAACGGGTAAACTAACGAAATCACAATTGAAGGCAACAACGAAAAATAATGTTCACCACAGGCTTCTATTCTGTGCTGAAAATCCTAATAAATCGATAGGTCAAGAAGAGGGTTAGCTCGGGTAGTACTTAAACGACGTTCTGATCCATCACTGTAGTAGAGCGTCGCTTGACATTGTCCATTGCCTTATTACTATACGTGAAATACTATAAATAGAACTACTCCTAATAAAAAACAAAACACGACTACGACGCTTGAAAGCGAAATTTAAAGATTTAATTCGCCGCCATAGTAGCACGCGTACCGATGCAAAAAGTTTCTGGGATAAAACTTAAAATTCAATTTTTAATTCATATATACTAGAACAAGACTCGTTATTAAGACAGCAAAATATCAATAATATAATCATAATTTAATAATTGATATTGCGCCCGATTACAAATGTAGTTAACTCTATAAACAAGTCATCAAAATTTTTATAATTCTTTTAAATAACCGTAAAAACAATTCAATTTAATTCAATTGCAATTTGTATTGTATTTTTAACTTTTTTATCTGCACATAACCTGTACCAATTTTATAAGTTTTTAATAATATCATATTATTAAAAAATTTTTATATTTTATACATAATATATATATATATATATTATATATTATTTAAATAATGCATGTTAATTGTCTTACAAAATGTAAAATATCCTTAATATGTTTTATTTATATTAGGATTATTGAAAAATCAAGAAAGTAAATTATCACTTTAGAATTAACTGAGTACACAACAATGATATGTCAGATTAAAATATTGATTTTGGGACAAACATTGAATAATAGCTATAATAAAGACTAGAAAGTTATATAAGATTAGTCATTTGAAGATTTGAACCTAAGTCGAATTTAAAGTTTATTTGATTCATTAAATAGTTATGAAATTCTATATTGTTTGCCAATGAATCAGACTTCGATAGCCATCCAAAATTATTTATTTTATACAATGTACTATGCGAATATTAATATTTTATTTACGAGAAAAAATATACATATAATAACAATTTATTGTTTTAGATTTAATCATTTTTAATTACCACATCAAAAACGATTATAGCTACATAGTGGGAATCTATTTACGCGCGTTAAAAATAATTTCCAAGATATATAGTCGTCAATAGTAATTTTTGAATCTTATAAAAAGTTTTTTTATCATAAAAAAAAAAAAAAATTATAATTAATTTAATTTTGAAGGTAAATTTATAATATATATATATGTTATTTTAATTCATTTGTTGTGTTTTTAAAAATATGTATAAGTATTATGTATTTGTATGTCCTCAGCACTTTTCAGCTGAGAAATTTTAAAAGTTTAAACGAGTATATCTCGCTTAGCACCATTAATTTTCTTGTGTAATACAAAATCATAATAATTCTGAAATTACATCCTCACACAAACCTTATTTTAAAATTACTTTTTTAAACAATTGTTTCGAGTTATAAAAAAACACTATTAGATTAAATTAAAAAATATATTATACCCGTTGTTTTATTTAATATTTTTCAAATTAGTTCTAAAATTATTTACACACGTTTTCTTTCTTCTCTAGTAAAAGGTACTTATTCCATAATAAGATCACATATTAATAAAAATAAGCAATTACACCTAAAAAAGATTCTGATGCTTCAATTTTTAATTGGACATCTACTGAGTACTGATGAAGATACAGGTGAAGCGTCAGAATCTCTTACACGTGTAACTACTTATTGTTTATTAATTCATGATTGTATTGTGGTATATACCTTTTACAGTAAAAAAACGTATGTAAATAATTTAGAACTAATTTGAAAAATATTAAATGAAACAACAGAGATTAATACATTTAATGAAACTGTATTCTTTAATAACTTGAAACAATTATTTTAAAAAAAGGTTAGTGTGAGGATATAATCTTAAAATTATTATGATTTTGTGTTACACGGGAAAATTAATGGTGCTAAGCGAAATACACTCGCTTAAACTTTTAAAATATTTCTGCTGAAAAGTGCTGTGAATATACATTATGTTTTTTGAAAATCACTATTATTTTGTGTTATACAGAAAAAATAAGTTTGAGAGGGATGTTCCTCCTGCTGTGAACATACAAATGTATACTACTTTTATGTATTTTAAGATACAAAATTCTAGTTGTAAAGAATGATTTTATTATTAAATTAATTAAACTATTTAGAAATAATATGCATAGCCCGCAAACGACCAAATACATAATAGAAGAATCAAATAATTTTATTTTTACACGACTGAAAAACATTTTAATAATAGTATAATAATAAAATATATATCTATATAAACATACGTACAATTTCTTTTAAAATATTATTTTTTTTCTAGAATATAAATAATTTACATTACTTAATCATATTTAATAATTACAAATAATATAAAATATATTATAATAATTTATTTTCAGATAATATAGTAAAGGTACATAGTATAGAATGTGCAGTATATATATATAAAATATAGCATATACAATCTATAGTTTTAACTTTTAATATTTATCACCACCATACATTAAATTGAATTATTTATATTATTTTTGAATAGGATTGAAAAACATAGTTCAATAACTTCGATAGTAATAATTTGCGATTACTATATCAAAACCGAATTTTGATTATTCCTCAAAGCTAGAAAATATTATTAATTAGTTATTTATTTTCAGCCTTATAATTTTATAATAACATTACATATACATGTTATCAATATTTATTTAAGCCTATTTATTATCGTAAATGAGTACACGCTTTGTGTCATCAATAAAAATTATAAAATTTTGAAGTAAAAATTTGTTTTTTGAATTGATTCAATTTTTAAAGAAATAATCATAAAATTAGACAATCAATAATATATTATTATATATAATTATGGTATAGGTACTATAAGCGTAAAACAATAACAATTGTTTCAAAAATGTAAATAGTGTAAATAATTTAATATTATCATTCATCAATTATTAGTAGTAATGTGCTAATTCCTAGGGATATTTTTAAGATCGGAAATTTGTTGAAAATATTATAATTTTTTAAATATTGTTCATGTTTAGATATAAATGTCAAATTAAACTTGTAATTGTAAATGATCTAAATAAAAAATATTTTAAACCCCAAATATTACAGTAGAATACGGAACTTTTGAACAATACCAAAAAATTATTTAATTTATATCATAGATAAACCTAATTCAAGTTTAACTTAAATGATAATTTGTCAGTGTAAATATTGGGTTTTAAGTATTATTGTAATTATTTAAACTAGATATCTGTTTAAATTATATTTTAAATTTAATATTTAATAAATCAAATATAATAAATATTAGGTAATTAATATACCATTCCTTTAGTACAGTCATTCTATTGGTTCTAGTATAATTGATTTTTTAAATTTTCCTAACCTCCTAGGTAGCAGAAAATTTCGGGAATATTCATTGTTCTTGGATACATTCCTTGAAGAATATTCCACGTAGTACATCACTAATTATGAGTAGCAATAGAAGATCGAAAGTAAAAAAGTTCTGAATGATTATATTACACATTATAATATATAATAGGAAGGAAAAAAACAAGAACCTCTGTGAGGGTCGAGTGCATTGTAATGCGCGTTGATTTCATACTGTGTGCCGTTCGCCGCGGGTGTAGTAGATAGGCGTGCAGACGTCTAAGTATATGCGTCAAAGGTCGCGTACGCGCATGAAACCCTCTACAGATTATTGTACAATCCAAACTACCCATTACCACGTCTATATGACGAGGAAAAATATATATTAAACAAAATTCGTATGCACATAATATACAGCGGATGGGGGTTCTAGGACCTATCGTGGACTGAGAAGAGATTAAAGACCGCGTGACGTATAAAGTTAACGGCGGAAAAGGAGTAGAAAAAAATTTAATTAATTACCCGCACTACATATAATACGCATAAATATATTATAATCTATTATACTCTACATTATATACTTATGGTTCGGCGGCAGTGGATTCGTATATACAATATTATAATATACATAATAAATTATGATGTATAATATGCGTATCTGATACGGTGGACACAGTTTTTCACAGGTGAGAAAACCAGCTCAGCTCTGTACATTATAGTGGTGTGACGGATGCAGTTAGGGATGGGGAAGGTATTTTTAGCGTGAGGACGAAGATTACTATCCAATGTCCTTTATGACGTGTGGCTGGCTGGCGTACCGCGATATATATAATATATTATAGTATATATATATATATATATAGATATTTATACGTATATATATCTTCCCGAGGGGGGCTAGGGAGTGAGGGTGGAAACGACGTTTCGGAAGAGAAGGGTGTTCGACGGTGGTGGCTATAGCAGCGAGCAACGAGTGATATGGAACAAGCGAGAAAGGCGCGATGACGGCGGCGAGACGGCACGCCGAAGGGAGGGAAAAGCGAATACGTACGGCTGCGAAGGGGGAGGGTTAAGGTCAGGCGCGTACGGGGTATTTATACGTTTATATATATATATATATGTCTGTGTGTGTGTGTGTGTGTAAACGTCGCAGCCGGAGTAGAGATAAGCGCATGAGAGACCCCCGACGCGCACACCCACACCGACGTTACACCGCGCGCGCTCACGCACACACATACGTACACCCACACGCGGCCGTCGGTGGACGGTGGGTATATATTTATACGAACGCGCGGCCGTCTTCCCCTCGGCGGCGCGCGCGCGACCACCACGGGTGGCGCCACAGACGCTCGCTCGCGCGCGCGGTCGGAACGGGCTTGGGTAGGGGCGGACAAGCGGGCGGGAGGGCGGGCGGGCGGCGAGAGCGCATTATCCCGGCGGCGTCGCCGAACACCGCTTAGCTGGTGGGCGCCCAGAAGCAGCTAGCTCAGTCGCCGAGCGAACGATGGCCGAGTGAGCGCGCCTAACGCGGCCCCCAAAAACGTTCGTAGAAACGCATACTATACCAGCGCGAGCGTCTGTCCGTCTGTTCCGTCCGTCCGTCCGGCTGGCCGGTTGCCTTGTCGCGCCCTCCCCCAGCCGTCGCGCGAGAGTGTGTGAACCACCTCCGCCCATGGTGTTGTACCGCCGTCGTCGCCGCCGCCGCCGCCGTCGTCACACTCAGGTCGCATTCGTTAATTGATTTTTTTTTTCTTTTCCCTCGTTCGCTTTCGGCGCGCACACCGCCGCCGATCAAAAAAAAAAATAAAAATAAAAACAAAAACAAAGACCTTCGGACCCCGAGCCACGTGATATACGGTTTACGTACGCCGCCACCGAAGTGGTCGTACACACATAATATATACCACGTCCGCGGTAACGGTACACGCGCGCGTTACCGACCGTTACCGTTCGCCGGGAGACGCGCGCCCGAGATGACCATCACCGCCGCCGGATGAGCGGCATCGCGGGCGGCAGACGCGTTCAATCGTAACGCCAAACGTCGGGCGCTACGGCCACTGACCGGCGAGCGCGACATCGTTGTACATAGTCGATCGCAGCGAGACACAGCCCTGGATTCCAATTTGCATGGCTTAAGTTTTAAGTGGCCTCGGAAAATGTTGAGGAATTGTTTTTTCGGTGAGTATAATGCTACTGTGAACGACGACGCTGCGTCAGCTGATGCACGTCTGTGCATCATCGGTGCGTTTGCTGAAGGGGGGTAACGTGCGGTCGACGGTGTTGGGATTTCTTGACTATTTGTTCACATCACCTTTCGAGTGCACCCTGTACTGCACGGCGTTGGATGGCTGACTGACTTATTGAGTTTATGTGGATTCGGGGATTGCGGTTAGGGGGTTGGTATTACCGTAATTATTTCTAAAAAAACACGCAAACCCCCACGAACTTTTGTATAAATATATATGCAGAGAGTGTGCGTGTGTGAGAGAGAGAGAGAGAAAACTCTCGTGGCGAGTACGAACGTGTATTATGTATTATTTCACAAGAACCACAGTAGCGTAGGTAAACGCAGGTTACAGGTCTGCACGGGCTAATTCCGTCTCAAGTCGCTGTCAACTATGCATGCATGCGTGTACCGAAGCAATGATAACTAAAGTCAGTCTCACTCATAATATAGTATGGTCACCTATAGATTATCACGCATATAACTGCCTTTACTACCTGCTACAAATGGTTGAGAGGACGTTTGAGTGTCACAACTTTGCACCCTACAAAAGTCTTTTCTTTATATTTCGATAAAATAGCCCGATGGATAAAAATGTGTTCAAATAATATAATATTATTATAATATATTGGTTGAAATAAACGGTTAAATTATTAAATTATTTCAAAAGCCCGGAGATCACTTTATTTGGGGCAATTAACACGTTTATCGTAACACCAGTAAGTGTGGAAATACGGGTTTGAACAATATTTTAAGTAGGTTATCATATCGTTATCTTGCAGTGTTGATTTATGTTAATATTTCCAATGATATTAATTTTATTCGATTATTATTTCCTCTATGTATAATTCTCGAGATGATCTTTCGATACATTTTTAGCACCTATTGAGTTAATGTGTGTTTACACTTTACATATTGATTATGACATATTAAAGTGAATTTCAGCCACTAATATGCGTTTAGAAAATCAGTCAACCGTGCTTTTATTAATTTATAAATATCGTTAACAATACCTTGCATTTTATACTCTTCATTTGTTCAAATTTTAATATTATCAATAGCTAATAGCATAACGTTTATTTAAAATAAAGGTTTATTTTAATTATTATTACGCGTAACGTCAACCGAAACAAATTTAAATGTTTATGAAAACATCTTTTTGTTGATAGAAGAGTTTTCCATCGTTTTAAATCATTATAACGTTTATTATCTTCTGCATTCGTTTTAGTTTATGTGAACCACTTTTGTTTTTATTGTAGTTTATCAAAATTTAATACAAATTGTATATAAACAATAACAAAGTGATTGAAATGAATTGTGTTTATATAAGGTTGAGAAAAATTGAATATTTATTTTTAGGAGATTAACATCATAAATTATAATACGTGGTTTAAAAATTAAAAATATTTTTTCATAATCCATCGACATTTTTTATTGAATTTTTATCAACATTTCATTATTGTATATGTTATAAAGTATGTCTACGCAAATCCCAAATATTATTAGTAACCAGTGATTCTCATATGATTTAGAAATAATTTAGCGTGTATTAACATGAATGGTTTTTAGTTCAGACTTTGGTATGTATCAATTATTTTATTAATAATGAAATATTCCACACATTTCGATATTTTATAGGTAAAGTTTAATTATACAGGTATATTATCAACACCCTGACATAATATTATATTTGAACCAAAATTCAAACTTTGAAATAAATATACCTAACAGATGTAAACGAAGTGTAGACAATAAATTCGTGCCATACAAATCTTATTGATGTGAGGTTAGGTACTTAGATGCTTTAAATTATAATAGGTACTAAATTATAATTTTACAATTCTAAAGTTGAGACGCACGACTGTTTAAATAAAACAAGGACAATAAATATTTTTAAGTTTGATTGCTGTAGACCGGGATACAATAAAAATATCTAAAATTAATTCAAAAAGTAGTTTATGATAAAAAAAAAAAATTTTTAATTTTACTTTTAGTGATACGATAACGATTAATATATATTAGAGTCGCATTTGTATACTTAAACACAAATTATTTAAATGCTTCAAAATAAACCTCGATAGAACGATTCTATTAGATTCTAGTAGATTTATAAATACTTTAATTTACTTACTAGGTATTATAGTTTGTCACTATGTGTCAAAGATATGGATATCAAATATATTATATTAAGCTCTATAAAAATTAATTCTATACAAACCGCTACATACATAAACATAAAGTTTTGACGACAGCGCAAAGAAAACAGTTGTAACAATAATATAGAATATATTTCGTAAATACGATATAATATATTATGTGGTAACGAAAAATACTATATACAGAGTAACTTGGTAACATAAAAACTACTATAAAAGTTTATGACAAAATTGTAGTATATATTTATGCTTACCATATACGTCACTGCATGATGTCATATTTGTGTATTGTTCATGTATTAGGTAAACCTATAGGTTAGGGGTACCCATTATTTATTTAAAAAAATAAATAAACACATACTCACAAACAAAATTAATGAAAATATTTGCATTTTTAGTACGCCTCTACACAAATAAGACCTAGAAATAAAACTTTTAAAATATATAATAGCCTTCATTATAATTTGTATATAGATTAAAATAACTTCATAATATATAATTCATCAATACATAATATGTTTTGTTAACAAAGTTATCAACTATTATTTTGGACGGCATTAAATATCTTGTATAATAATAACATTAAATGTATATATTGATTGTTAAGAACATACTTATCGTTTATGTAAAATAAACGCAAACAGTTTCTATATTATACCATACAAATCCAAATTATAAACAACAAATTGTTAGGATTAGGTTTATAAACGATTGAGTTAAACAAAATGGTTGTAATGAAATATTTGATAAAAAAAAAAAAAACACGGTAAAAATAAAATAATTTAAAGGTTTATTCGATATGAAATACATATTTCAAAAAACAGATAAAATGTTTAATTAAATGTTTGATGAAAAACAGCCCTGTATAATCACTACCTACATCGTAAAAAGTTTTTATTGTTTTTAAATTTAAAAAAAATCATATTAAATTAAACTTTCAAAAAGTTAACGGCATTTTTTTTTTAATCTCCATACATTTTTCAAAAAACAATTCTCGTAGAATGACAGTACACGAAAAACAAACGAAGATCAAACAATATGTATTATTATCAATTCACTACTTGTTATAATTTTATTGAAACTCAACAATTTAATCAGGATTTTTATGAGAGACACCGATGTTAAGTCGGATAATAATACAATACCTATCATATTTTTCGTTGTAATGTGTAACCGAAAAATGAAAACAGAAAAAACTATAGTCTGTAACCTCTCACTGGTAGTAAATATACTTTTCATACCTACCTAGTTATCACCTAACTACCTAAACGATTTTCACGGTGATTATTATCATAAATCGTAATGCGAATGTAAAAAAAAAACAAATTTAGTTTTCAAACAATTATAATCGATAAATAGCTAAGTAAAAGAAATGAATCGATTTTCCGTTATCCCAAATTTAATTCGTTTTTAATGGATCAAGTGTATTATTATAAGCCTATGAATGATTCTGTAAGAATAAATAATAAGGATATTTATAAGGATAAGGATAAATGATTTTTGAGTGACAATCAAGTATACTGATTTTCATTTTTTCTTTTTATTAGATATGTATTAATTATACTTATTTAATGACCATGTTATCAAATACTTAGATTTTTTGTTATTTAAGATGTGTACAGTGATAATACTTTTATTTTTCAAATAAGAACCATCTTTTTACAGTCAATTGCTATGCAGATAATTTTTTTAAATATTCATTCATAAATAATATACATCGAATTTTGAACGGATATAACTTCTGAAGTATACAATTTTATTAACTAAGGGCATATAATAATTTGGAAATTGTTTTTACTATTCTATTAATATTTTGTAAATTGTATTAATTGTTCGAGTACTGCACAAATTTAACATCTATTTTTTAATTTATATTAACTCAGTATTAAGAACTATAAAAACAGTCCTTAATACATACATTTCAAAATCATAAAAATTACTATTTAAAAACACAACTTAGACGTATCAAAATGTTCCAAAAAAAAAAATTATCTACTTAATAATTTACAATAAAAATGAATATTTATCATTGTAGGTTACTTCTTTTATGTTATAAAAAATAAAATAGGCAAAGTAAGAATTTTAAAAAAAATTCAATAATACATAATTTTTAATATTTTATTGTCTGTGTAAATCAATAGCATTGTGTTCGATTTTATTTTATAAAACAATGAGAAAAATAATTTTTTTAAGTTTTGCAAAAGGAAATGATTACCAACTTTGATTTTAAAATGATAGGCTTTTAATCTTACTCAACAAGCATTGCGTGTTAGAACTTTTCCAAACCTTGAGGCTTTATAAAACTTTACAAAAGATTGATCATTTCAGATTCTGATTTATATTTTACATTTCATACTATTTAAAAGAATAAACTAAAAATCAGGAAAAAATATTTTTAAATACAAATTTTACAAAAACTAGACTATACTTATTGGGAATTAAAATAAAATATCTCGCATTTAAAATTCGAAATAAATTTCCATGATTGTATAATAAATTACACAAACACACACACATATATATATATATATTGCAGTGGACATTATTTTATACTTTATCATTAAAAAACTGAGGTTAGATTTTAGAATTTTTTTTTCACTAATAAGCTAATAGAAAATTTATATTCGATGAAAGACTTTATGTATTGAAAAAAAAAATTGATAACTGCAGTTTTTTAGTAAAAATTATTTTTATTCGTTTATGGTTATTTAAAAGTTAAAATTATCAAAATTAAAAGCCAGATTTATTTTTGTTAAATTTAAAATATTTATTCTAATAACTTGCATAAAAAAAAAAAA